CGTGTCCATCGGTTCGTGTGTTTTCGGTTGACCTGAGCTGATGCTCTGAGACTGTATAGTGTTGCCTAGCAGCGGTAGCGTGGGAGATGGTGTATAAGCACATCACTTCTTATTCTTTATTGAGGTTGTTGCATCAAAAAAAAAAAAAAAAAAGCTTTTCAAAGGAAATTAGTCACGGGGGGATTTTTGGGAGAATGTGTTTAAGCCCATTCCTTTTTTTTCTTTATTTAGGTTTTTTCATAAAAAAAAAAAAAAAAAAAAGCTTTTCAAAGGAAATTAGTCAGCGTGTGATTTCTTCCTCGAGTCTCACGCTGGTGTGACAAGAGTGATCGGGCTGGGTTCCAGTGTCAGGAGCTGCATGCAGCCTGGGCAGCTCTCGGTGCTGGAGCGTGTTAGTGCTGCAGAGGTGGGGTGGACTGACCGACTGCAATAACTTTGTTTACTGGGGGGGTGAGGGGGAAACCATCACTGTGCTCCTCTTTGTATTTCAACCTACTGTAAAGAAACAAATGGTAGCTAGGACAGGATTTCCAGGGTCCTGCCTATCAAATGTGTGTTGTCCTGCTCTACTCTGTGTGTGTGTGTGTGTGTACGTGTGAGAGAGAAACGCTTCTGCTCGTTGCATTTCATGTTGGTTTGTGTTTTGTTCTAACTTTATACAAGCGAATTCACTGGGAAACCTTTGTTTGCTTGAGACCTGAGGGCATCTGACTCTGCAGGGTTTCTCCCCTGTGGAAACCTGCTGTTGCTCTGAAATGCCTTTTCTGTGCAAGAAAACATCCTGGCTTCTCAGCCTCATCCTCCCGGAGTCCGGCAGCAGCAGGCTGGGCCTGCCCACGGGCAGCTGTGTGCCCAGGGGGTGGCTGTGGTGTTTCCCAGCCTTGGAGGCAAATTTGGTGGTGCTGCTCTGGTCAGGGTGTTGTGCCTCTGTTGTTTCTCTTGTATGGTGTGGAGCCACTTTGTGCAGCTGTTTCTGTCCCTGACTGGAGGAGAAACAGGTTTCTGTCTCTAAGATAAATTAAATGAGTGTCAAAGTATGCTCTTGGCTCTGGCCGTTTTGGGAAGAGTTTTGCACCTGGTGATGTGTATGATGAGTGACTGATCTCGGGTCTCCCAGCTTCCCCAGCAGTTTCCTGGGGGATCCTACTGTGAGCAAGCCTCACCGGCCGGAGGGATCCCTGCTGCGGGGCCAGGGAAAGCTGCCGGGGCAGCGATGGGCCCGTGCCTGCAGAGCTGCACCAGCCTGGTGGGCTGAGGTGCTGGCATGCAAGTTGGTGAATACAAAGGGATGGCTTAGAGCAGAGGCAGCACAGCTCCGCATTTGGCTCTTGAGGGTTTTGGTGATTAAGGTGCAACTTGAACAGAGAAACATGGTGGTGTTACCTTGCCTGCCTGTGTTAGATGGGGCTTGCTATGGAGCCACATTGTCTGACTGAAGGCACAGCTGGAGCAGGCAGCATCTGAGCTGATCTCTGGCAGGGAGGTGCTTTGAAGGTGGCATCCCCTGAGCTCCCTGTCCCTTTGTATCCCACAGGTTGCCCCTGCTCCCCGCAGAGCTCCTATCTCCTGCTTCCCTGGCTGTGCCTTCTCAAGACAACCAGTTTCTTTTCCATCTGCTTTAGGGCGAAGGGCCCCGCCTCGCTCAGAGGTGAGGCCTCAGGAAAAGGCTCGGTGCTGTATGGAGCTCTGCGACGCTGACCTAGTTTAACAGCGCTAGTGAGCAGATGAAAGATGGAAGGGTTTCGTGGCATCATGTTGCACCTTGAGTTGCTTCCTGGTCCTCTGGGTTGAGTTTCCTGGAGACAAAGGCTGGACCTCAGCCCTGATAGGGTTCGGTCAGAGCTGGCTCTGCTGCGGTGCTGGTGACTTCGTGGGCATCTTGGGCAGCTGCTTTAGCTCAGTGCTGCAGTTTCCATCCAGTTCAGTTGTCACCGTTTACATCTCAGCGCAACTGCAGAGTCCTCCTTAATTACACAGGACTTTGTGGAGAGCCACTGTCTCTTCAGCTGTGTTTTGCTCCTTTAATTAGCAGGCGCTTGTTGCTTTATCCTCCAGAGAAGGTAGGGTTAGGCAGCTGGGAGGTTTCTGGGGCTGGAGGAGATGTGCCTGTTTGCTTTCCATCATCAAACTCGGCCGAGAACAACACTGTCCCATGCTTAACCTGTGATTGCAGCAGAGGCCCCGTCCTGTTTCTCACCAGCAGTGTGTGCTGGAGGGAGCACTGGAGCGCCGGGGTGGAGCGCATTGCGCCTGGTGCCTCCATGTTTGGGAAGAAAATCCTGGTGAGAGGCAGCAGAGCTGGTGGCTTTCTGCTGCTCCGTGTGCTGAGGGATCGGGAGGGCAATCCCATGCAGTGGTAAAGAGCTGGGGGCCCTGGAGCTTTCTTGAAGCTGGGTTGGATGTAGTGCCTCTGTCCCCTTCACTCAGGGGGTCTCAGTCTCGGTGGATAGCTGCATGGTGATGCTTTGGTGTGACAGTCCCTCTGGGCTTATCTGGCAGGGGGAAGGCCAGAAATGAGCAGTAGCATCTCCCAGAGGTTTCCTGGAGCCTCTTCAGCAGGGTTCTCATGGGAGACGCTCCTGGCAGGGCTGGCTCCTGTAGGGTCACTGGGCTTCTTTGGGACAAGCGGGGTGAGAAGGGGACATGCCAACTCGGAAAACTGCAGGTCACTGGTTTCCTTAAGGAAGAGCACTGGTGTGGGGCCACATCCAGTCAGCTGCTGCTTTGTGCCTTGGCCAGAGGGTTGCCAGAGCATTACCTGCCCGGCTGCGTTCGCGCCCTGGCTGTGGGGAAGCACCTTGCTAGTGTGGTACTGTGCGTGCTGGGGCTGGGTGCCACCAGCCTTGTCCGCACCACGGCATGTGAGGGGACATTACCACTTTGTAGATTCCCGAGTTGTCCATCTGTTTCATTGTTGTATTGTTTGGGTTCTAGGGTGTTGGGTTTTTTCTTTTTTTTTCTTTTTTTTTTTTTTTTTAATGAAGACAGATTAAATGTAAATAGCCTTTTTTTGGAACAAACTGCAACATGCTCGACCTCGTCAACTATTTTATGGTACTAATGCAACACTAATAAAACTGGACATGAAAGCACACACCCGTCCCTGGAGTCGTCTCTCGGCAGGGGCTGTTTTGATAGTTTGGCATGTCTGGAGCAGTTTTTTCCAG